TTTTTCATGTATTTTCTGGTGTTGGATTTATTGATGCATACCAATATCGACCAAACTTTAGATCGTTAGTGGCATTATACTCCGTACAATTACTTCTACCGCCACACAAAGCCAAATTACTTGAATTTTATCCGGTGAAATAATTGATGTGATAACTTATACATAGTGTCTTCAAGGATTGATAAGCCCTTATAATTGTATTATTTATGTTATAACACGGTTTCGAGCTACTTTGCTCATTTTCGAGTTATCAAAATCCAAAAAAAATTCGAAACATATCTCAATTATATAATTTTATTGTTATTTATTTTTTATCCACAAACAAAAAAAAACCATCATTCTTCTTCGTATTTTGTCTAATGCACGTCAATTCCCAAAATCCGATACTATCTCCTCCTCCTTCTAATGACCTATTAAAAATGCAATCACTCAAACAATAATACTTTTTAAGATAATTTATAGATCACTCACAGTCAGGGCCAAGGAAATAATTCTATTTAGCCTGCATCAATTCCAAAGCTCTCCCCCATAGATCTGCCTGTGGCCATAGCAGGCGTCACAACTCTAGCATTTCCTATGCGATATAAAAAGTTACAATTTGAAAAGTTGTGGTTTTGTAAATTTGGTATCCAAGTAATCCAGTTAAATCAAAGTCATGTAATAATGGAAGAGAGGGGGGTAACACATGGTAAAATGCATAGGAGCCGACAACTAGGAGCTCGCGTGGCTTGAGCCCCACAATGTTGCCGTGGTGGGGGCTTAGCCCCCCTCTCCCCCCCAAAAAAAATTGCTATAGAATGAATTGCATGAAAATATCGATCGTGTACCTACATTATAATTTCATTAAAAATGACTGTATCTATCTACTAGCGGGTAGTAGAATTAGTTTCTAAATTGTAAAAGGAATCATATATTAAAATAGTGTACTGTTTTAGTTTAGAGCACGGGCGGATCTACGGGGGAGATTTCGGGCTGAAGCCCCCTCCCCCAAAAATGGTAAAATATAACCATGTTTAAAAGAAAAATACATTAAAAAATTATCTCTCAAAGTATTATTGTTTGTATAATTACATTTAAAAGGACTTAAGGAATCACCTAAACGCCATTTCATATAGATAGTTAGTTTCTTTATTTTTTTCCAAAGTAATTATCATCATTTTTATGAATAAAAAAGCTTTCGGGCTGAAGCCCCCCCCCCAAAAAAAAAAAATTAAATCCTGGGTCCGCTAGTGGTTTATAGTATGTGAAACCACTTTTTTGTCATCATGAAGAGCTTGAAGTAACACAATACTTGCCTGACATTTTTTTCATATAAGCATATATTATGTATTGCATATAGGCATACAGGATATATTACAAACAATACCATCACCCTCCCAGACCCCGTGATCTTACAATTCGGCCCCCAATAATTTGCATATGTTCGCGAATATGGTAAAATTATAGCTATTTTTTATAGAAAAGATGAACCCCTCTGCTTTCATTTTCAGTCAATTACTTTTTTAGTTGTTACGACAACTCCAGCTGCAGGCTAGGTTCATTCCACCGCAAATCATTCCGAATTAATCCGTCCCTCCCCGACATTCCGGCTTGCAGAGTCCGAAAGAAAGGCAGGGGAGGGGTCCCTAAGGATAAATAAATGCAATTATTATCTAGTTAGAGAGGACGGGACATGTGCCTGCTGTATTACAGGCAGCAATTACAGACGTTGACTGCTATCATATTAATGATGGCCGATCCAGGACATACGCACAGCCGCCTGTGGAAAATCGCTAATTGACCGTATCTTACACCTGTCATTTGTGGGCGTACTCCAGGGTCTCATGTTGGGCCAGTTATAATTCATGGCTTGTTACATCTATCGGCCCCACGGGGTGCGGCCCACGCCGATCTCCGAAGAGTTACGGTCCGACGAAAGCATAAATACGACCGGGTCCGAAGTTTTTCATCGGCTGAGATCAAAGATGTCATGGGTACAGGCTACATTTGAGATCATGTAACTGGATAAAACAAAAAGAATACAAAATAAATTGTTGCCTCTTTTCTGAAAGGAATACACTTTCAGCAATACATGATTGGATATTATTAAAAAATAAATTCCATGTAATAGAGGACAAAAAGTGTTCTTTGATCTGCCCCACAACTTTTTTTATAATATTGTAAATTTAATTTACATGTACATTTCAGACTTTGTCCATTATTAGCATATCTCTCATATATCACAATTTTTTTTCAAGAAAAACAATTAAAATTTTTTTTTGGTCCATTTTACTTTGACAATGTACAATAATCACTCATTAAAAAAAAAAAAATCATTTAATTTAAATTAAAACTACCAGTTAAAGTTATATAAATTATCATAAAATTCATCAAATAATTTTGTAAAAAAAATTAAATGTGTATCTTAAGCAGTAAGTAATGAGACATATAAGGTAAATTGTTATACCATATAAGAAATGAAATAGGTTTTTAAAAGTTTACTGTGTATAGTAGTATAGTAATTGTAAATATCTTTTTTTTTTCTCAAGATTTTGTATAAAAATTAAAATATGCAATTACTTAGATGCTTAATGAATTGGTTGTATATATTTTTATTTTTTCAAAGTTGTTTCATTCTTGAGAAACATCCGTTGTGTAAACATAACAAGGAAACTGTCTATACAATTATGAAATTCAGCGAATTATTCGCCAGTTAATTTTAAGCTCAATTAATTAATATGAGCTCTAATGACCGCTCCGGCACTGGTATTAGTAGCTCAGTAAGAAAATTGGAATGATATTATTGAATAATGATATCAGCCCTACCAGCTGCCGACAGTAGCAGACGCTGGAAATTCTCCATGACCGGAGCTGGAGACGAAGAGAATGGAGATAAGGCGGCGGGTGCCAGGTAGAGATATCATTTAGTGTAAGTAGATGCAGAGCGGGCAATTACCTGTGAAGGAAACCCAATTAGCTTCTTTATCGATTCCAAGTCGACTTATTGCTTACAATCGATACCTTATCGATTAGTCCGAGGAATCCCCCTCTTCCTCGGAACAGTCTTCGGCGCCTCTTACGAGGATTCTCCACTGTTTTACGGATAAAATAACATTAGGCCGTAAAAACGCGTTAAAAAACATAGAGCTGAACAGACATCCTTGTAGTACCCCGAAATATACCATATTCTACTTCTTTTTTTTTCAGGAAGTAAATGCAAGTGTCAACAAGGTGTGGGGGCAGGTGGAGATCGCGTGAGTTCCCGCCCACGCCTTAATAGTAAAATAATTGCCTCCATAGCGCCGGGAACCGCCATTTTGTAAACCCTAACCTCAACGTTAGTATTTTTTTTTTTTTTTTTTTTTAATTTGGAAAGCCAACACATTATTATATTGCGTATCACGACCACAATAGTTTTATACAGTCAACCCACGATAACGAATGTGATATCACTTTTAGTTATGGATACGGGTACTAATTTTAATTTTTTTTTTATTCATGGAATGTATAACTATGTTAAAATAAAAAATAATTATATTTAATGTGACACAGATTTGATGTACTTGTAAAGAAGCTACCCATTGATAAGACTTCAAAGATAAATTAATTTAGGAGGTCCCATGGCCATCTTTTTTTCAGACGCCTCGGAGGGTTGTCACGAATTGTGTTGGATGAAAGGTAACAAACTAGAGGATTGGGGTGACCAAAGATTTGGGAATGAAAAGAGGTATATCTAGTTCGGGCCAGGTCTTCCACAAGAGGAATATTGAGGTCTTTATGGATAATTTTATTTGTTACATAATAAGGAGCATTTATGATTTTACGGAGGATTTTGGATTGTAAGGATTGGATACATGAAGAATTTGATGTTTTTGTAGAGCCCCAAAGCTCAATACCGTATGTCCAAATGGGCCTGATGATGGTAGTGTAAATGAGTTTTTTTGTAGAATATTGGAAGTTTAGAGGGTTTGTCAAGTAAGTGTTGTAGTAGTCGGAATCTGTTGGCAGTTTCTTGTCTGTTAAGTCGAGTATGAGGATTCGGCGTATGGCGTTTGTCAAAAAGGAATCCTAGGTAACGAATATGTTCGACAGGGATCAGTGGAATATTGTTAAAGGATACGGTATGATGTTGTAGGTTTACGGCGAAGGGTAAAAGTAATTTGTTGGGATTTGTTTGAATTAACGTTAATTCTCCAATTTGCACACATTTTTCAATGGCTGAAATGTGTGGTTTGTGATGCAATAGTTGGTTCGAAATAATGAGTTAAAGTTGATGGCCTAATAATTTCCCATTATTCTATTTTTTCTCTTTTTTATTTAATTTGCGCTTTTTAAGTATTAAATTCGAATCTGAGACAGTTTAAAAAATATAAAATTAAGGCAAATACTCTGTTGGAGATTGTGTGTAAAAAAATTTAATAAAGAAGAATGTTTGAAGGGTTAATACATTTGAAAACCAGGTCCCACAGTACGAGAAATAAAAAAACAATCTACTAAAGCTCATCATTCCCAAGTGTATTAATAAATTCTTTTGAAAATGAACATGTTTGATGGCAGTAATAAAAAGACAAAAATGTTGGGCTTCCGGTATGGCTTATAAGAAAAATACCCCAAGTCCTCACCCCTCTTTTCTTGAGAATGGAATTTAAGGATTAGGGGATCAATATTGTTGACCCTCTGGTTAAACCGTTATCCGAAGGTATTCCATTTTGTTATAAAGCGATTTTCTTCTTCAACCCCTTTCTGAAAAAGGAAGCATAGGAAATATTTTCTTTGATGTTTAAATAGAAAAAAAAAGTTCTCGTCCGTAAAAAGGAAGAGATTGCCGGAAAATAACAAATCGATATGCGTGATATTGCGAAATATCACGCAGTTTTAACGCGAAATATCAGATCAGTTTTAAAAAAAAATCATGCATGATTACAAAAATTTGCCCTTTTTGGGAAACATCGATTACCAAATACAATATGAAATATTTGATAGAAAAACCCTACTTACTCCTTTAGTACTAATAATAAAATTCAAGAGGTACTCACAAATCCATGCTTGTCCGAGATGTTATTTGTCAACTTGAGTTTGTGGAATGATACCACCTTCTGCATCCATTGCTCTCCCGTCGACGGGGAATCTGGGTGGATGTACATCCTCTTTGGCATCTCAGGATCAGCCTTCCCTGCCACCATCCACCGGCTGTCCAAAAAAAATGCAAATTCAAAATCAAAACCACTAATCAACCTTTCATTTTATAGTAGCAATTAGAACTTCATGCAACTATGCTCAACTGTGTAGGTGTCTTCTTAAATGGCCCAAAACAGGCTTTAGAAAAATTGAGTGAATTTTGAAATATAGTCCACATTTTAATCACTACATGAAAGAAACGAATTAAAAAATTATGTTGAAAGGAAGTATATATTAGTGATAGTGGAATTAGAATATAGAACCAATTAAGTGTGTTTCAAAGAAAAATACCTGGACAAAGCCAGAAAATAATACCGTAAGATGGGGTAACTTTGGGAAAGCGGGTAAAATTTAGTTTGTGGTTATTCCGTGTTGGATACACTGTGTTGGTTCAGTATGCAAAAATGTGCTTTGGGTAGCCATATACTGCTCTCCTACCTTGCGGCAGTTTGAGAACCCTAGTTCACTACACTCGATGTATAGTTAGGTTTTATTTATTTCCATTGTATTTTTTTTCGAAATTCTTGTGTTCATGAAATTTTCGCTTGTGCCTCAAGAGTAGTGTCCCGCAAGGTAGTAGCGCAGTACATGCGCTGTCCATGCAGACTGAACCTACACATTGTATCCACCACGGAATCACCTCTAAGTACTGTTCCAAAGTTACCCACACAGTCCCTAAGTTACCAAATCTTACGGTATTTCTTTATTATTTAAAATTTTTTTTTCTGAAGATGACAAGTAATGGCATTATTTTCAAGTAATATCTTCATAAATATATTTAGGGAATCGAAAATTAAAATACCTCAATTTTAAAACACCATTTGGTCATTTTTATGTATATACTATAGGTATAACTTATATAATTAAAATAAAAATATAGTTAAAAAAGAGACATACAATGATTACAATATAAATAGAAAAATCCAAAATATAAATCCATGAGCCTGTAACATAGGTGGAGAGGTAACCTTTCAACGTTTTACCTATTTAGAACCATCAGGACAGAAAGTAACGATTTTGTTGGGCACGGATGTTATATACATATCCGAGCTTTTTCTTTTTTTATTTAATTTATTAAATATAGTTATTTTTTTATTTAATGTAATTAACACAATTTTCTGTTGTTTTATTTTAAGTATGAGTATTTTTTTCCAATTTTATTTCTTCTAATTAGTTCTTTAATATAATTTTCCTCTGCTATGGAATCTTCTCTTCCCTTCAGTATGTATTTGGATAGCTTAGTGAGATGTCAAAAGAAATTATCTCTATCGTTTTGCATATATGTGTTTTTTTCTTGCCCGATGATGCCTCAATTGGCGAAACGTTTTTAGGTTAACTCTTGACCTGTATGTTTCAGACTCATGGCTTTATATTCTGGATTTTTCCAATTATATCATAATTTATATAAATTTATGCTACAGAATATAATTATATTTATATAATTTTTAATTTTAATTAAAACAAACTAAGAGTTTTGGTATCGAATGTAATGAAAATACATTTGATGCCGAAACGTCGGCATTAACTAAAGTATGTTAAAGAAAAGAGAATGTTGATGGCCTTTGACCAAAAATAATAAATAATTGTATGGTACCAAAGATATATAATATTACTAAAAATTATATTTAATTTATTATTTTTTAAATATCATGTACTCTAAATTAACAATACTATATCAGTAGATATAGTACATTTTTAATACCTTAGCGAACAAAAATCTATTGAGATAATCATCAGTTCACGAATTGACAGATAATTTATTTTTAAGACTAATTTATGAATATTATTAATAAAAAAAAAAAATTCGTTTCTTATTATATTCTTATAAATAGGGAAAAATGTAATGAAGAAACATTTGTTATATATATCTTTTTTAAGATCAATAAATAGAACTTCTAGTGTGCTAGAATTTCGCGTTCCTGTATTAAAAAAAAATGTACAAAACATTATGAATTTTTAAAATGTATCGATTCGATACTGAACTGAGCCTTTATAAATATAAATCGTACACGTCACGTTATGCTGAATCATGGCTAAATTAATTTATTTTAAATTATTTTTTTAATAAATATATAATATATAATTTGAGATAATATATTTTTTTTCTCCAAGAAACTCTCCTTCATACAGAAACATGAATCAAGAATAAATGATGATTTTTATTTTTATTCCCAAAGGTCACATTTTCATGAGTATTCCTTTTCGTATTGGCGATATGTTGTGTTTTTTTTAATATATATTTTTTTCACATTTATTTATTCAAGTATTGATTCTGCCAAGATATTGAGAAGAATTATTTATAAGTGGGCTTAAATTATTTAAAATACGTTTAACATCTATTATAAAAAAAAAAAAATTTCTGTATGCACAAAATTAATATTACTTTATTTTAGTTAATTTTTGAAAGTAGTTTATATACTGTATTATATACTTCGTTAAAAGTCCAAGTTCGAACGTTGTCTACACGCGTTGTATTTAAAGTGAATACATAAATAAATACAAATATATGAAATTACATAATGATACAGGTACGTTATGGGAGATACACAAGAAATAGGGGATGATTAGAGGGGTGGAACTGACCAGTTAGGGAAGGGTTAGGGGTGGCTTTGTTGGTCAATAATGACCAAGCTGCTTTTCCATCACTTACAGAATATTTATACTAATTTATTCCTTTATTATTATTTTTTTTTTTATTCTTTATAGTATTTTGGGCAATATATAGCAAAAATTTCTTTTAGATTTGTAAATAAAATATTAATTTAGATATACGAAAAGAAAATCTCTTAGATACTTTGAACTATTATGAGAAATAGTAACAAATCAAGGATTTACTTTTTTTTTTTTTGGAAGGCTTTTTTTATTTATGTTAATTACTCATGTACATTGTACTCATACAAAAAAATGTGAAAACTACCTATATGAAATAGTGTTTAAGTTGTATAAAAAAAAAAAAAAATTAAAACTGTAATTAGAGGAACGCTAACGATTTCAGACATAAATTTCTTATATTTATCTTGATACCTGATTACAATCAGCTGTTGTACAAAAGAAAAAAAAATGTCGTGGAACAATATTAAACGAAAAAATAAATAAATAGAACTTGAATTAATATTACAATTATCGTAACGTTCTCACTTAAAAAATCACAGCAGATGTACCAGAGGAAATATTATCTAGATATAAACAATTAGATGGACCCCTTATCGCTTAAATAATTTAGTCCGGAAACATTTTAAAAACGATTGTACCAATAATTCAAAGATAAATCACACGAAGAGGTTATCACGAATGTAAAATATGTCAAACACGCGATTTTTTTTTGACAGGAACAACGAAGTACTCATCCGTAGTTTGCTTGAATCATGCGAATGAACACTTCTCTATATTTGTATATTAAAGAAATAACCATGAAATAAATTATACTTAACAAATAAAAACAAAATTCTAAATAATTGAGTCTAATTTCAAGTGTTTTCTCTCCGCAAGTGGGGGGAGGGGGGAGACAAGTCTAGTTTGCAGTTCCCCTGGCTGATTGTAAATAGTACATATAGGTTAGTGTTGCCCAAATGCGAGACCGAGATGAGTCTTGGTCTTGCAAACTCATTCTTGGTCATGGTCTTCGTCTTGCGCAAGATTCTCGCAACAGTCTTGCAGTTTCTATTAGCTTATTACTATAGAGATATTACTGTAATTTTTTAGATAGGAGAAACCTAAGTAAGCCCGAATGAAAAATTAGAGGAGTTAAATGCAAATGTATATTGTTTATACCAATTATTAACATATAGTAACTAAGATTGTCAAGTATTAGTTACTATTTTGCCTTAATTTTTATTTAAAAAATCGATTTTTTTTACCAGTCCTGGTATTGGTCTTGCAACAGTTAGGCGGCCTTGGTCTTGGTCTTGCAAACTGCAAGACCAAGACTGATTTTGGGCAACACTAATTTAGGTATGCCTGGGTCTAAGATGTTTACTTTATTTTTTAATAACATTTTATTTTATTTATTTATTTTTATTTTATTATTATTATAATTATTTTCTTCACTCATTATGGCATTTTATTTTGTTCTTATTTCGCTGTATATTTTTTTTATTATCTCATTTATTTATGATTGTGTAAATATGGCGTGATTGTGCTCTCTGAAAGTTTCCTTAATTGAGACAGATTGTAGCATTTATCAATAAACGAGTAAATTCTATTAAAAAAAATTAAATAAAAAAATTCAGCTGTATGTATTTTTCTAGAATGTCGAACTGAACGTCGCAGTTAATGCGAATTTAAAAATAAACGGCCGTCTTACAATGTCAGTCCTTTTCAGTAATGTAACACAATAGAGCAATTTATGTCTTGGAATTACTTCAAGGTCATTCCCAGCGGACGTTGTAAATAAATAACAGAAAGTGGGTAGATAACCATTTCTTAAAAAATGATAAATTATTACATTTGCTTCGCTATATTCTGGATAGTGTATTTAATAAAAATATATAACGGGTGTCCCTAAAATCGAATATTATTTAATATTTTATTAAGATATAAAACATTTCTTTCAAGAAAAAATTGTTTCAATTATATATTGATAAAATAAAGATTTTTTTTTTAAATTTACACATCTTCACTGGTTTTATATATTGTTTCTGTTACTGAAAAAGGTTGTATGTAAAATTTTACATATTTATTCTATTTGCACTAAAAGTGGACATTTTGTACTCTACAACTGCTGTAAGTGGTTTGCTAAATAGGAAATAATAAAGGGAAATAAAGTATGAAATTATTCCAATAAATCGTAAGGAAATAATAGGTGTTTATGCTCTTCTGTAAAAAAAACTCATTTTTTGGAATCGACTTTTTGCACTAATAATGGGAACTTCGGGCTGAATTCCCCCAAAAATGGTAAAATATAACCATGTTTTATGAAAAAAATTATCTTTAAAAGTATTATTGTTTGTCTAATTACATTAAAAAGGACTTAACAATCACTTAAACAACATTTCATATAGGTAGTTAGTTTC